AATTTAAATTGAAAAATGAAAAACATGCTCATCATATAACAGGTGTATTCAAAGCACACAATTGTATTTTAAATTTATAAATTAATATATCCAGATAATAAATTGTGTTACATAATTGATCCATGTTTCAAAGTGAAAAAGGATACTCAATGAGGAAAAAATAGTAAGAGAAAAATTTGGGGTTGGAGGGAAGACGTCATCTGAAAGTGGTGTTTGGATAACGTGCACCAATTATTCATTCCCAATAAGACCAGGAAAAAGGTAAATACAAATAGGGGTCAATTTTGATTTCATATTAAGTTTAAATGAGAAAAGTATGTAAACAATACAGGCAGTTGTAAAAAAATAATATGCCTTCAGGACATGCAGACATAATTTACATACTCGTTCTAGTTTATTTTTTGGAATAGGAGGCGGATGAAAAAAGTCGAAACCTTGGTGAAAAAAAGCAGTGCTTTGAGACCCAAATAACAACAGCATATGTGACTGTGTACATGCCCTTTGCTGCTTGCTGTAGCATTTTCGGACACAGCACCGGACACAGTGACAGTGAGAGCTCGCGGAGCACCAGGAGGTTGTCCCACCGCCACGAGAGGGAACGTTTCTGTCGGCCAGCTACATCCAGTGCACTGTGGGAGCGGTTGAGAATGAAGCTCAGCGTGGTTTCCTGTCCCTTCTGAGGGCATGCTGCCCAGTAAACCAGCTTCCCTGCCTGACAAAACCCTTTAAAGCTTATCACACTGAAAAAAAGCATGGACAAATGCTTTTGCGCTCTGTGTTCCTTTTTTGTTTTTTGAAACTGTCCTTCATTTGCTGGGGATTTTTACAAGGCTTTAACCTGTATTATGTTCTCAGAGTTTCATTCAGGTAGAAGGCATTGGGGAACGGCGATGCTGGTTTCTGTTCATTGTTTTAATTCTCGTCACAATGAGTGTGTGTCGTAACATATGAGGACAGGCATGCAATGGGCAGCATATGCCATACAGGAGTCGGAAAGGCTTAGGAGGTAAAAAAAGGAAAGATTATGCAGCAAGGACAAAAAGACAACGTGAAATAACACTGTCACAGCTTTGTGTCCTCTCAGCATAGCACATTTCAGAGAAAGAGGAGACTTAAAATATCATGCACTGCTACAAATAAAATCTACCTTGTCTCCAAAGATGACATAAAAGACAATCAATGTTTGAGAGCATTTAAGGTCCTTTCACATGACATGTGGCAACATTCCCCAATGCATCAAACTCAATGGAGTGAAGTTATAGTAAGCTAAATGTAATGCCAGAGTTCAAACTATTGGACCTATTTGCTAGTGACATTTTGAAGAGCAGGCAATGATCGCTGGACAATGTGTATGACGCATAGAATGTCTTTTCTTGCAAAATGGTTCCAACTTTGCATTTAAGTTTGATTTCACCTCACTAATGATGTTTTAAGGCAGTGACACACCAAACCGATAAAGAACTAGCAGCAACGATAGCCAACTGTGTTGTTGCTTGAAGCCAAAATGTTGAGCTTGAACATGCCGCGAAGACTACAGCCATACATCCACACTACAGCTTGCATGAGAAGCTTGAGTTGGACTTCACTTTCTTCATTCCAGACTGCCATGTCGTTATGAAAATATCTGCATATTAGAATCCTCAGGTAAGATGAAGATGTAAAATTAGAACAGCCTCTGTGTTCACTTTTGACTTTATACTTAATTGCTCATCACTATTCCTCTCATGCACTGGTCACTTAAGTTGAACAGCCAATCAGAGTGGTCTTTCTCACCGACTGGCTGACTCTGATTCAGCTGAGCTGACTGTCCATTGGCTTGGTGTGTCAGGGCCTATAGAGTACAAAGCAACAAGAAATTACACAGCACACTTTTCTTGCACCCAGTAACCTCATAAATCCCCCTTTATCGCTATCTGCAACATTGGTCAAGTGGAGGTCAAAGCAGAGCATGTGTTGAACGTTGAAGCCCTGACATGAGTCCCAGAGTCCCCCCCCCCCCCCAAAA